CTGATGCCAGGGGCTTAAGTGGAGAGCAAATGTTTTGAGAAAGATGAGGGCAATGAATGTACAAATGTGCTTTACACAATCGATGTATGTATGGATTGTGATAAGAGTTGTATGAGCCCCTCATAAAATGGTTAAACAAACAAACAAACAAAACCCCCAAGGGCTGAAGTAGAAAGAAAATGTTTTGAGAATGATGTGGCAACAAATGTGCCTGACACAATGTATGTATGTATGTATTTTGAAAAGAGCTGTATGAGCCCCCAATAAAATAAATTTTAAAAAATTAAAAAAATGATTAAAAAAAGAAAATATAAACCAATGCAATAAGAAAGTTAGAGGGCACAATTTCAACTAGAGCCCTGCTCACCTAGTGGGTTAAGTTGTGTTAATCACCAAGTCAGCAGTTTGAAACCACAAACTGCTCCTTGGGAGAAAGCTGAGACTTTCTACTCCTAGAGTTAGTTTCAGAAACTCACAGGAGCGATTCCACCCTATCCATAGGGTCACTGGGAGTTCGACTAGATTAGATGGGCGTTAAGCTTTGGTTTTACTTATTTGAATTAGCTCTGGCCTGACAAAGGCTGTCTGCTGGGCAGCCACTGAAGGAATGAGGAGGGAGCTTCCAGAGAGGAAGCCGAAAGGCCATGTGAGAGAAAGGAGCTTGTAGTCTTGGAAAAACTGGCAGAATGTCAGGGTGGCTGGCCAGCTGGAGCAGAGAGTGCTCCGTGTGAGATGAGATCAGTACAGGTGGGCCAGACCCTCCAACGAGTTCAGATAGACTTCCAAAGGCGACTGGCAACCAATGGGGTTCTGAAGTCCAGCAGCTATGAGCATGTGCCCTCTGGCATCAGGTCCTCTGCAGGCCTTGCCCAGCTTAGGCCCAGCCAGTAGTTATAGGGCCCGTTTTGCCTCTGTGTCGTCATCGCCTGTCTGCCAGGCAGCCTCCCTCCACCGGGGATGCAGGGGAAGCCCTGGCTGGGTAACCTAGCAAACAGCCATGGGCGTCATCATAGGGGGCGGGGAGGTGGGCTCGGTGCTCACCGAGGACTCCGGAAACTGGGCCTCCCACTCGGCGGGCACACGTGGCCCAGGAGTGTGCCTGCCTGGCACTAGCACCCTGCTCGCGCTGCTGCAGGACTTCCCGGGGGCGCAAGGCGCCAGCGAGGCCCCAGGTGCGGGCCTGGCGCACTGCAGCGCTTCCAGGCCGGAAGAAGGGCTCACTCGCTCGCCCGCCCGCCCGCCGCTCGCGCCACTTGGCCAGTGTTTTCCGAGCTCCGGAGATCCATTTGCTCAGATAAGAAATGGATTCCCCCCGCCCAAACAAAAACAAAAAAGCGAACAGAAATAAACAGAGGGGGAGACGCTTTGCAAACTCGGGCTCAAGTTCACTGTCCTCTGCTTGGCCCTTCGGAAGCCCAGGGGGCTGGAGTGAGCAGGATGTCCTCTCCCCCACCCCCTTGACCCCGCCGAGCGGTCGCCACACTCGACTCTGCGTCCCCCGAGGCCAGGAAGCGCAGGAAAGGTCTCCACGGCTGCGGGTGCCGGCGCAAGCCAGGTCACATGACTGCACCGAGCGCCCCCAGCTCGGGGACAGTGAACAAGCGCGCACGCGCACTTCCCCTATCTGGAGCCTTTTTTTTTTTTTGGCCTAGCTTGAGTTCGACGCAACCACGATTGGCTCCTCCCCCTCCCTTCCCCCCACCCACTGGTTGCGTCAAGTAGACTGCCCCGTTAGCCAATCGCCGCGCTGTGTCCAGAGGCTGGCACGCGGAACTGTCGGAGCGGACCAATGGGAGTCCAAGGAGCGGGCGCGCCCCAGCGGGGCCGGGGCGCCGGGCCCGAGGGGGCGGTGCTTCTCCAGTCAGCATGTGGGCGGGGGAGGGCGGGGACCATCAGCCGCAGAGGCGTCGACGGCGGCGACGACGACGACGTTCCTTAGTCTTCGGGGTGGGCTCGGCGGCGG